CGGGTATTCGGCTTAGTCAGCCACGAACTCGGGTATTCGACCTAGTCAGCCACCATACGGTATATAGGTGATCATCATTATTTCAATATGGTACACAACTCTTCACGTTTGAACATGAAGCATATTTTTACTATAAAAGTATTTAAACATAAAATATATTTCTTCATGTATTAACACGTGAGTGAGACCGGGTCCAATAATCCAAATTAAATTAAGGGTTAGAAGTAAAGATTATAGACTTGTAGGTAGATGTTAATTTAATTTCGGAGACGGCTAAACAAATTAACAACCATAAGGAAATTTTTAGGGGACCTGAAAGATTATAAGTGAAACTGTTGTCTTCATGAGCCATGTTACATATATATTTCAGTCTGGATCCCCCCGAACATATTGGAATGACAAGCAAAATTAATATTTCGAGACAGTTTGGTTGAAATGTTTCATCTCAGAACATCACGTTAATTCATATTGGTAATGGTATGAATTCTGTTCAAGTACGTTCTCGTACATTACATAAATGACCAAACAAGGCTCGAAAGTCGAAACATGCTCCAACTAAACAAAACCTATCTTCATTTCCAAAATTTTAGAAGTTAGAGTAAACGAAGGAATTACAATGCAAATACGGGTAATTTGTGTAACACTTAGTTACATTAGACACATTATTTATTGATTTATTAACTTATTTTTCATTTCGAAAAAAATTAAAATTTTCACATTTATTTCTTAACTTATAAATATGAAATTTGGAGTCAAAAAAAGAAAATAAAAAAAATAACTATAAACATTATCATAAAACAAGGAAGCACCGTAGATGATTATATCACTTCTTATTACAAGCTAAATCCAATACTAACAACCCAACCCATACATTAAGTAACCCAGTTAAAACAGTACATAAGTCAAGTATAAATAAAATTGGCCTTTGAGTTTCATATATCCCTATTAGTTTTCCTAATTTTTGACATATTCGCGACAATAGGAGAACTTGATCCATGGTCTAACTGTTATCTTCGCGTATCCTAGCGTAATATGCTGCCAACGTGAAGAAATAATAGCTTTTGATCATGTTTAATTTCCTTCATAGCCTTCTTGTTTATGGTAAGTGTAAACTAATTAATAATTAAATAAATGCTAGATTATAATCGACAAAATAGTAAATTAATATTATTTTGAACTTCAATTTAAAATGAAAATTGAAAAGTGTGTATTCTCAAAAATTATAACTTAAAAACAAAACAAAACACTATAAGAAAATTGTTATATACAGACACACTCTAAAGTGACACAATAGGTGTCACTAAAAATTATTTTTACCCACAAAAGAATATAATATATGTTGATATATTATTAAAAAGTGTAAGCATAGATTATAGTGACACACAAAATATATTGTTAAATCTTATTCAAAATTAACACTAAAATTATATGTAACTATATATCAAATAAATATATACTTACATATATTATATTTATAATAATATTTTTTTGTATGTCACTATATATAACATTTCTTTTAATGAAAAGTAATATAATCAAAACGTGCATAGCTCATTATTTTCGATTATTCTAAAAATAGATCGAACCCTTGTATGGTTGGTAAGAGGTGTTCACCTACGAGAAATACCATGACTCAAAAATAACATACACTATTAGAAAAGTGTCATTTTCTTGTAAATTTTCTTGCAAAAAAATATTCGTAAATTTTTTTTGTGAATTTTCTTGCAAAAAAAATATTCGCAGAAATTTTTTGCGAAAAATAATTTACAGATATTTCTTACAAATTTTGCTACAATTTTAACAATCATAGAAATTTTTTTCCATGGTAAAAGTTTGCAGAAAATATTGTAAGAATCTTATTTTTTTTTCTTGCAGATTTTCTTACAAAAATAAATTCGCAAGTAATGTTTACTAAATGGTAGAAAAATTTTGCAGGTAACTTTTCCTGCGGCTTTTCTTGCAAATTTTAATTCGCAGGAAAAATAAAAAAAAAATATATTTAAATTTATAAGTTTAAAATTTTAAAAAAACTTCAAGTCCCACATTGATAGAAAATAAAGAAATTAAAGAGTATATAAGTTGGGGCAACACTTATCTTACAAGTTGATTTATATGGTTGAGTGTTAGACTTATAATCTACTATCTTAGAATTTAAAAGATTATGTATCACATGTTGGAGGCATGGAAACAAATGTTTCAGATGAATTTATTGTGAGTTTTTGAAAGTTGAAAAAATTTGCAGGAAAATTTTTTGCGAATTTTAAAATTCGCAAAAAAATATTATCCATGAAAGTATTATTTACAGATAAAATTTCGCAAAAAAATTTACAGGAACAATATTTCTTGTAAATTTTTATAAAAAATTTACAAAAAAAAAAAAGTTGCATGGAATAAGAGAAGAGAAATTTGATGAAATGTTGGATTTGGTGGCAGGTGGATAAAGCACATACCGTCATCAACCACTGCATACAGCGATATTAGCACGTTAATGAAATGTTTTTTATTTTACTAATAAAGTTTCTGTCCTATCAATGTTTTTAAATTAAACTTAACTGGGCAAGTTAACGAAATGTTAGATTTGTAAGTAAAATCTAATATAATTTGCATGCATCGTAATCGTAATTCAGATGAAAAGAACTAATATAATTTTTAAATAATTTTTTTTTCTTCCTTACAATATTGATAATAAGATTAGAATATAAGAACTTATCCATATTACTCAAATATCGCCACCACTAATTTGATTATAGTGAATTTGGTTGATGTATGTGATTGAGTAAAAAAGAAGCATGTTTAATGACTACTTTAACATGGAAAATGACGACACTACTAGAAAAGTGTATTTTTTTGCAAATTTTCCTATAAAAAAATATTTGCAAATTTTTTTTTGCGAATTTTCTTGCAAAAAAATATTCGCAGAAATTTTTTGCAAATTTTCCTGCAAAAAAATATTCGCATAAATTTTTTACAAATTTATTTGCGAAAAATAATTTACAAATATTTTTTACAAATTTTGCTACAATTTTAAATCATAGAGATTTTTTTTCATGATAAAAATTATGATCTCGGCTCTTCTCTTTCTGACATTTAGTGTAAGGTCCTGTACTTCCTTTCCTGATTAGCATTCATCGTTGATCTCTAGCTAATAGCTAAGGTTCAATTAATTATATAATTGTTATGGAGTATAAATAAAACTAAAATATGTAACATGTTATACTTTGAGTTATGGCATGGGTTGAAATTATTTGACTAGCACTATTTTTGTGATCAATAAAGTCACTATGCATTAAAACACGCACATCACGAGTGACCCCAAAAAAATGTATGTAACTGAAAGGAAATATGCATTTAGATCGATGTGTTTAATTCGTGTATGTAATCATTACAATGACATTGTCATGCATAGATACAACTTTAATTAATCAAAATCACATATATATTCACAAGAAAAGAGAAGCCGATCGAGATCATAATAAAACTAAAGAAAATGGGTACTAGCGATGCAAAGTGGAAACTAGCTAGGATTGTTAGAATAATCATTTGAGAATCAAACACTAACAAATCAATAAAGAAGTTGTCCCTCGTAAATATAGTACGATGTTAACAGCATTCACCTACCGCTTAATAAACAAATCAATGATGACACAACAAAGCTAATGCTTTAATCGTATACTCCTTATTTTAATATATATTTTAGGGGGAACCTTCTGCGAGGAACACTAAATACACTGCCTAAAGTCTAAACTTAACGAAATAATATATACCAAAATATGATTAGAGGAAGGAATAGATCCTCCATGTCTCAAAGTGACAGCGTCTTGCATACCCCACTAGAATCACATAAAAGAAAAATATAAATCTCTCTAGCATCTATCATGTGTCCTATTGGCCAAATGGAGGTACAATAGGTGCCTCTTCATGAACACAGGGATTACCAAAAATTCTTTTTAATGCCAAAATAATCAGAAAAAGGAGGAACTAGAAATGACACAAACTATAATTTTATTAGATAGACAGATTTCTCCGCTCGATGAATAGATTAAGAATATTTCCTACATATATATTAGGATCTGTCGATTAATGTACTTTTTCTCTACCTCTCACTTTTTCCCTTACTGACCTTTATGTGTTATCTTACCGACAAGTTTGCCTAATTAATCAACTTGAAGAACCTAAGTAAAGACTCGTGGATGTAATAAGAGCATCCGTCCTTAAGTTACTTCTATCTAAGGTTAAATTTTAATTAAGCATGCCTAATTGTTATTAATTCAACGTTATTCACATTTGTTGATGGGTATAGATTGAGTTCTCAATTTGGATGGCATAACCTAACTAAAACAGAAACAAGGGTATTAATTAATGACATATTATGATATGAAAGAAATTTTGATTAATCGAAAGTCTTTGTAAACTGGTGAGATTAAATAGGATCATGTGTATAGGTCAGGAATAATAATAGAGTTTAGTCGTAGAGGAATTAATTACATTGTCTGCCATTAATTTTCCTTTTTTTCGACATTTCCCTTCACTTGAAATGACAGCACTACTGCATATATAAACAAATATCATCAATCAAATTGACCAAGGTAACGGTCAGCAGTTAGCTAGGCTTGATGCGAAAAATCCCAAAAAAAACTTGTCAGTGATATATCTGAAGCACACAGCTCATAATATAGATCGATCAAGCCTAAAGGGCTATCTAATTCTTCTTCACACAGTAAAGCAGTAAAAAGTGGAAACATAGAAGAAAAAAAGGGAACTGAGAAAAAAAAATATATATATATATATAGAGGAAAGCATTAATGTGCATCATTATGAGACACATAGGAGAAGAAAATAATGTTGTGGTGATGAAGAAGTACGGAAGTGACTCGCTACCTATTCTATAGCTTCAAACAATTTAACTTACTTGGGGCATTGAATTTCTAGAACGGCCAAGAACACATATAATTGAACCAGTCAAAGTAGCAAAGTAAGAAGAAAACCGAAAAGGTGAGGAGTTGAGAATTGAGAATGATATAGCATTGAGATAAGAGATGTATACATAATCTGCAAGTCGAATATATGGATGATATATAGAATTACATACAGAAATAGAGAGAGAAAATTATGAATAATAATGCGTTGCATTTGGTTCCTCCTTGTATATTCATTCACTCCCACTACCACTTTTTGGGTACCCCCACTAGCAGTCTACTCTCAGTACCACACTGTCTTCTTTAAAAGCAGGTTCATCATATATCCCTCATCTTTAATCTTTTTTTGTTCCTGCCAGAGCAAACAGGATAAAACTACAAGCAGCGGTGTCGATCTACATGGACTTCTACTACAAATCTTTCATGAAAACCCTAATTAAAATAAACATACTACTTAAAATAGAGATCATAAATAGTGATGACAAGAAAAGCTTTGAGATGAGTGGAGTACTAGTTAACTTTTCCATGGAATGAGAATTTCATTGAGTTGCACCTGGAGGAGGCAGGTGGTGGTGAGGTAGAGGCAATGATTGATGGTGGTGTTGTTGTTGTTGTTGTTGTTGTGGTGTTGGTGGTGGTGGACGCTTTCGTTTCTTCTTCTCATAACTGATTCCTCTTGCTTTGGACTGAAGTTCACGAACCTCACGAAGGTAGAGCCTCACTGCTCTTGCTCCAAAAGGGTTGGTTTCTGGTTTCCCTCCGTTTTCCTCAAAAGCTGCCCTCAGACGACCTATGAGGGCATCGAGGCTACCCCAGGCTTGTCTCAGGGGGCATGGACATGGAGCTGGAGGGTTAGGGTGCCCATAAAAGGGACAGATCGGAGTGTGCACTTTCGTCTTCCCAAACTGGTCCAAGTACCTTCACACCACAATAACAATTCAACAAGAAAAAGAATAGAGAGGGAGAGATTAAGAAAAATGGTGCATGACATGGTATGTTTTTTCATTTTGAACCAACCATATCCTCCTAATTATCTCAATACACTAAAATTTATTAAAGGTTACAGTTCTTCAAACAAAATTTAAGATTAAATTCATAAAATAAAGTTATCTGTTAGTGATGTCACAAATGTTTTTTCATATACACAAGTCTGAAGATCAAATCATCAAAGTAAAAATATCTATCAACCATATCACATGAGGTTAAGTTAGGTTAGGACAGGCCGGTATGACATGTTATGTGTAAGAGATGTTTGTACCTGAGAAATTCAAGGACGTGTGCACCGCTGCACCTGGAGAGGGAGAGAGGGGGTCGGTGATTCTTGAGGTACTGGCCGAAGGTGTTCCAGTCACGGCGCTTTTGGTTCTCATAGCGGCTGCTAGTGGTGGTGGAAGAAGCAGAAGGGGAATTGGAGCTACCAACTAAGCTGTTGTTGGAGGTGGTGATGGTGGTTGCGGTGTTGGTGATGTCAGAGTGACATGATTCCATAAATTCTTGAATTGAATCCATGGAGAGAGGCTAGCTAAGAACTTGACCCTTTGGCTTTGCAGATCCAAGATTGTTTTTGTCTCTTTGCAACCAGGGTTATTGTTCTAGGGTTCCTACGACAGTGACCAGAGTGAGTGAGTGAGAGAGTGGAGGGAGTGAATGAGTGAGAGTGAGGGATGAATGGATTGAGGTTAGTTGAGATAAAAGATTACTATACTTATAATTTGGGAAACAGTAGAAGAGCAACGCTGTTTTCTAAAAAATATTCTTTTTAATGTCTTGCATTTTAGAGGTTTGTGTTAAGGAAATACAACTACCTTGAAAGAAAATGAAAAGGAAAGAAGGAAGAAAACAAACTCTGATTCATGATTGATATTACAGGTTTCTAATTTTTTTGGAGAGAGAGATGAACCTACAAGTGGTGAAGCAAAGGAAGATTTTTTTTTTTTTTTTTTTTTTTTTTTTTTT